GAGGAGGAGGAAGAGGAGGGGGAGGAGGAGGAGGAGGAGGCGGCCGAAGCTCGGTTGTATCCACGCATGAGGACTGGCAAAAACAATGATGTCGCCGTTTTACACGACGAAAATTTAGTTCAAAGTTGATTTTCTTTAAAAATTCACTTTAATGAGCCTCGTATTGCACCAGGCTTGGTGCACATTTGGTTCGTTAATTGGAACACCGAGACTGACCATCAAAAACTAAGCAGATGTGTCCTAAACTTCAAAGAGTCTTTCCACTGGCGCGTGTGCCCTTAGTTCATTCGATGCTTGAATTTCAGAAACAGAGATTGCTTGAAAACGAGAGAGCCAGATGTATCCCAAGTCTGATCTTTTCTTATTCTTATTATTAAGACGATTTTGGTACAGCATCTTCCGAACAATTAAGAAGTTCGGCACTTTGAAGGAATGCTTGCTTGAGTAGGTTTGGGGCCTGGATGTAGCTTCCTAGGCGGAAAGTATGAAAAGGATATTGTGCAGGAAACAGACTTATTCAACAAACTATTATCAAGGCATATTCAACGAGTATGTGGGTGACCGATGGGAGCGAACGGGCGAGTTCCAGAAACCAGTTCAGCATAAGATGATGCGCTCACTGGAACAAGGAATTTATTGGTCTGATGTCTCGGATTCTCGCTCTAACCCACCACCAGAGGAAATCGCAGCCACAAACAGAAATGAAAGGAAAATGTGAGTGACAACGTATGCGAGGAGTCTGCCTTCCATTCTTTTTGTTTACAGGGGATGTATTTGGCCTTTAGAAACTTCCTCAACCAAAATAGCCTTTATTTAGGAAAAATATTGTCCTTTTCATGGCTGTGGAAAAAATAAAGGGAAATGCTTTTACCGAACAGCATCTCATACCAGTAGTTCACACAAAATGCACAGCTATCGTCAAACTTATTAGAGGAATTAAACCTGTTGTCTCTAGACTGTCATTCATCCGCCGATTAAAGAATTCAAGTTAAAATCCCAGATCACCTAGATCTGGGCCCGATATGGCTGGCTGACGACAGCTAATATGCCAGAAATGGCCTCTGTGGTTTCGCTTGTCTTTGTGTCTATGGCTGCTAATTGTCTTGCGACCGCCTGCGAGGGCTCTGGTTTGAGCCCCAGGGCATAACGGGACGAGTCCACCTCGCAGCCTGGTCTGTGAACGTGCCTTCCCACGGAAGCGAATGTTCTCGAACACAATGATGAGACAGTGGGTCCGTGGCTCAGCGGTTGAACGTTGAACTGCTTTATGCTTGATCACCAATAGACTCAGTTTCGAATCTCAGGTCCTACAAAACCCACGGTTGGGTATAGTTGGCTGACGACAGCTAATAAACCAAGAAATTGGAAACCCAGCCCCCCTGCCTTTGCCGGCATTCCTTTCGCTAAAATAGTTGTTCTAACAAAGACAGAGATACCCGGTCAACCAGCTCCACTTTGCTACTTTTGCCGAGTTTAGGAGATCTGCGTTTCGAACCGGCTTCTGCACGAAAGGAGCCTAGAGCCTGAGCTATAGGTCCGCTTTCCAGCAAGGCAAAATGGTTGGAAACGACCACCCTACAAGGGGGACATCCGTCCCTGTGTTTGTTAAATTCCTACGTCCTTCCTTGTTAGTGGATATCAGCGGCAGACGCGGCCGCAGCTGGTGCCTGCTTGTTTTTCTGCAAAACCCGAAGCGATCAACAACTTTTTCAGTCATACCCCCGCTCTCAGTTTGACCTCGGATCAGGTCATGCGACCGGCGTTTGCGGGCATAGCATATGAAGCGCGTTGCACCCAATGAACTAATCAATAATCGATAAGGCCAGTATGGGTTACTGCGCGCAGCGTAGGATTCTTGCATTTTCATCAAAATGCGTCCACTGAGAGCTGGTTGTTGCCTTCTGCTGCTCCTCCTTCTCGTGTTGAGGACTCGATCCTTGCCACTCCTGCCGCATGAATTCGGTCAGTCCTTCCAACAGGGCGGTCAGTCTGAGCATGGTTGGCCTTTTCAACAGGAGAGAAGTGAGAAGCCCCACTTCCACTGGCAAGACTCTGGTACACCCCTGAAATCGGCACTTTCTCCCACATTCCCAACGATGTGGGACCAACAACAACAACAACAACAGCAAACGCCGTATAAATACCGGGACCAACGCGCTCAGAAAGGCTATAGCTTTGGTCAAAACCCCACCGAACAACAAATGACAGCCGTTTTCGGCCAACAAACACCATGGACGCAGAACCAAAAGCCGCAGGATTGGAACCTCCAGCAACAAGAAGGAGTTCAGAGGCCGGGCCAGTGGCATTTCCAGCCGAACCACCACTACCAGCAGCAGCAATATGAACAACCGCGGCAGTTCCAACGGGCTGAGCAACAATCGCAGTGGGGAGAGCAACCCCTGGGTAAAACAGAGTCCAACATCCAAAAGTCATCGGCAGGACCGTTATTTAACTACCCCCTAGCGCAACAGCGGCAGCAGCATCCACACCCATGGCGGTTCCAGCAGAATGAACAGCAACAACAACCACAACTACCACAAATGAGAGCTCAACCATTGAACGAGGCCGGAGGTCAGTTCCTGGGCTTTCCTGAGCAGGACTTTCATCCTGCACAGCACAATAACTTCTGGTCTGCTCCACGATCAC